TCGGAAGAACAGTAGATGTTATTCATTTTATGTGGGCTTCAGGAGACAGGTTTGGTGTGATATCAACTTCTAGATCTTTCTCTCTGTCCGTTTCATTAAGTACTTCATCTCCTATTCTGTATCCTGTGTCTGGCCTCCTGTTTCCACCGCCTAGTTTCATTACTTTGCATTTACTCGGGTTGAACTTTAACAGCCATTTGTTGGACCATTCACTCAGTCTGTCTAGGTCATCTTGTAGCCTCCTACTATCATCCTCTGTTTCAATCCTCTTCATAATTTTTGCATTATCAGGAAACATTGAGAGAAACGAGTCACCCTTTGGGAGATCATTTACATATCAGAAACAGTATAGGTCCAAGGACAGACCCCTGCCGGAATCCATTTGTAACGTCTCGCCAATCTGAGACCTCACCCCTCACATTGACTCGTTGTCTCCTGTTGCTTAGGTACTCCTTTATCCAATGGAGTACCTTCCCTTTCACTCCAGCCTGCATCTCCAGCTTTTTCAGTAATATCTTGTGTGGTACTGTATCAAAGGCTTTCTGGCAATCCAAAAATATGCAGTCGCCCACCCTACTCTTTCTTGCCTGATTTTTGTTGCCTGGTCGTAGAATTCAAGTAACCCTGTGAGGCAAGACTTGCCATCCCTGAACCCATGTTGATGCTGTGTTACAAAGTTCTTTCGTGTGTGTGTGTGTGTGTGTGTGTGTGTGTGTGTGTGTGTGTGTGTGTGTGTGTGTGTGTGTGTACTCACCTATTTGTACTCTCCTATTTGTGTCTGCAGGATCGAGCATTGATTCTTGGATCCCGCCTTTCGAGCCATCGGTTGTTAACAGCAATGACTCCGGTCCCATTTCCTTATCATACCTAGTTTTAAAATTATGAATAGAGTTTGCTTCCACAAGCTGCTCCTTAAGTGCATTCCATTTCCCACTACTCTCACGCTAAAAGCAAACTTCCTAACATCTCTGTGACTCATCTGAGTTTGCAGCTTCCACCCATGTCCCCTTGTTTTGTAACTATTCCGTGTGAACATTTTGTCTATGTCCACTCTGTCAATCCCCCTGAGTATTTTATACGTTCCTATCATATCCCCCCTCTCCCTTCTTTTTTCTAGTGCCGTAAGGCTCCGTTCCTTCAGGCACTCTTCATATCCCATCCCTCATAACGCTTGGACGAGTCTCGTTGAAACTTCTGAACCTTTTCCAGTTTCCTTACGTGTTTCTTCAGGTGGGGACTCCATGATAAGGCGGCATACTCTAAGATTGGCCTCACGTAGGCAGTGTAAAGCGCCCTAAATGCCTCCTTACTTAGGTTTCTGAATGATGTTCTAACTTTTGCTAGTGTAGAGTACGCTGCTGTCGTTATATGTGTCAATTTATATGTGCCTCAGGAGATAGATTAGATGTTACGTCCACGCCCAGGTTTCTTTCACACGTCGTCACAGGTAGGCTGTTCCCCTTCATTGTGGACTGTCCCTTTGTTCCCTGTCCCTATCACCTAGTCCCATTTCCAAAATTTTACATATGCTCGTGTTGAACTCCAGTAGCCATTTCTCTGACCATTTTTGCAACCTGTTCAGGTCCTCTTGGAGGATCCTGCAATCCTCATCTGTCACAACTCTTCTCATCAACTTTGCGTCATCTGCAAACATCGACATGTATGACTCTACTCCTGTAAACATGTCGTTAGCATATACTAAAAATAGAATTGGTCCCAGCACCGATCCTTGTGGTACTCCAATCGTTACTCTTCGCCAGTCCGACTTCTTGCCCCTTACCGTAATTCTCTGGCTCCTTCCTGTTAGGTAGTTCCTTACCCATGCTAGGACCTTTCCTCCCACCCCCGCCTGCCTCTCGAGTTTGAATAGCAGTCTCATGTGCGGTACTGTATCAAAGTCTTTTTGACAGTCCAGAAATATGCAGTCTGCCCAACCCTCTCTGTCCTGCCTTATCCTCGTTATTTTATCATAGAATTTCAAAAGGTTTGTTAGGCAAGATTTCCCTTTCCAGAACCCATGTTGATGTTTGTTTACAAACCTAACGTTCTCAAGGTGTATAATCAGTCTTAGCCTAATTATTCTTTCAAGTATTTTACAAGGGTTGCTTGTCAGTGATACAGGTCTATAGTTAAGTGCCTCCTCCCTATCACCTTTCTTGAAAATAGGAACAACATTTGCCCTCTTCCAGCAACTGGGAAGTGACATAATAAGTGATTCATTAAAGATCCTTGCCAGAGGCACGGTGTGTGCACTCACCTAATTGTGCTTGCAGATGTTGAACTCTGGCTCTTTGGTCCCGCCTCTCAACCGTCAATCAACAAGTGTACAGGTTCCTGAGCCTCTTGGGCTCTATCATATCTGCACATGAAAATGTATATGGAGTCAGCCTCCACCACATCACTTCCTAATGCATTCCATTTGTCAACCACTCTGACAATAAAAAGTTCTTTGTAATATTTCTGTGGCTCATTTGGGCACTCAGTTTCCACCTGTGTCCCCTGGTGTGTGCGTGCCCCTTGTGTTAAATAGTCTGTCTTTATCTACCCTATCAATTCCCTTCAGAATCTTGAATGTCCCCCATAACTCTTCTGTCTTCCAGCGAAGTGAAGTTTAATTCCCGTAGTCTCTCCTCGTAGCTCATACCTCTCAGCTCGGTCTGGTGGCAAACCTTTGAACCTTTTCCAGTTTAGTCTTATCCTTGACTAGATATGGACTCCATGCTGGGGCTGCATACTCCAGGATTGGCCTGACATATGTGGTATACAAAGTTCTGAATGATTCCTTACACAAGTTTCTGAATGCCGTTCGTATGTTGGCCAGCCTGGCATATGCCGCTGATGTTATCCTCTTGATATGGGCTGCAGGAGACAGGTCTGGCGTGATATCAATCCCCAGGTCTTTTTCTCTCTCTGACTCTTGAAGAATTTCATTTCCCAGATGATACCTTGTATCTGGACTCCTGCTCCCTACACCTATCTTCATTACATTACATTTGCTTAAACAAGACATGATAATCACATACAAGATTATCAGAGGAATTAATAAGGTAGATAAAGAGAGACAACTTAACACAAGGAACACACACACTAGGGGACACAGGTGGAAATTGAGTGCCCAAATGAGCCATAGAGACGTTAGAAAGATTTTTTTCAGTGTCAGAGTAGTAGACAAACGGAATGCATTAGGCAGTGATGTGGTGGAGGCTGACTCCATACACAGTTTCAAGTGTAGATATGATAGAGACCAAAAGGTTCAGAAATCTGTACATTAGTTGATTGACAGTTGAGAGGCGGGACCAAAAAGTCAGAGCTCGATCCCCGCAAGCACGGCTAGGTAAGTACAACTAAGTAAGTACACACACACACACAAACACACACACACACACACACACACACACACACACACACACACACACACACACACACACACACACACACACACACACACACACACACACGAAGGGGCCTCGTAGCCTGGTGGATAGTGCGCAGGATTCGTAATTCTGTGGCGCGGGTTCGATTCCCGCACGAGGCAGAAACAAATGGGCAAAGTTTCTTTCACCCTGAATGCCCCTGTTACCTAGCAGTAAATAGGTACCTGGGAGTTAGTCAGCTGTCCCGGGCTGCTTCCTGGGGTGTGTGTGTGTGTGTGTGTGGTGTGGAAAAAAAAAGTAGTTAGTAAACAGTTGATTGACAGTTGAGAGGCGGGCCGAAAGAGCAAAGCTCAACCCCCGCAAAAACACAACTAGTAAACACAACTAGTAAACGAAGTTCTACTTTAGTATCCAAGGTGAGATTCCATCCGGGTCTATAGCCTTTGTCACATCCAACTGTAGCAAATGTTTCCTTACCGCCCCACTGGTAACCACAAACTCCTCTAGAGGTGCCTGTTAAACTATTCCTTCGCTTATCTCTGGAACGTCTCCTCGCTCTAACGTGAAGACCTCCTGGAATTTCCTATTGAATTCCTCGCACACTTCCATGTCGCTTGTAGTGAATCTGTCTGCACCTATCCTCAGTTTCATTACCTGTTCCTTCCCTGTTCTTTTCCTCCTGATGTGGCTGTGCACCAATTAACGTTGAGTCTTTGCCTTGTTCGCTATGTAATTTTCATATTGTCTTTCTGCCTCTCTTCTCACCCTGACATATTCATCCTTGGCGCTCTGGTATCTTTCTCTGTTCTCTAGTGTCCTAGCTGTTATTTCTCAAGTTTCTCCACACCCTTGTACTGTTTCTTTGCTAGCTTACACCTTTGAATAAATCATATGTGTGTGTGTGTGTGTGTGTGTGTGTGTGTGTGTGTGTGTGTGTGTGTGTGTGTGTGTGTGTGTGTGTGTGTGTGTGTGTGTGTGTGTATGTGTATACTCACCTATTTGTGCCTGCAGGATCGAGCATTGACTCTTGGATCCCACCTTTCTAGCCACCGGTTGTTTACAGCAATGACTCCTGTCCTATTTCCCTATCATACCTAGTTTTAAAATTATGAATAGAGTTTGCTTCCCACAACCTGCTATGAAGTTCATTCCGTTTTCCCACTACTCTCACGCTAAAGGAAAACTTCCTAACATCTCTGTGACTCATCTGAGTTTTCAGCTTCCACCCATGTCCCCTCGTTCTGGGATTATTACGTGTGAGCTGAATTATTGTTCAGCAGTGTTATTATTCATTCAAGCCTGGTTCCCGGACTGGGTCAGGGGAATAGTGTGTCTGTATTCACCTAGTTGTGCTTGCGGGGGGGGGTTGAGCTCTGGCTCTTTGGTCCCGCCTCTCAACCGTCAATCAACTGGTGCACAGGTTCCTGTACTGGGCTCTATCATATCTACACTTGAAACTGTGTATGGAGTCTGCCTCCACTACATCACTTCCGTGTGTATGCGCGCGGGTGTGTGTGTAGGAGATTGAGTGTGCGTGCGCGTATGTGTGTGTGAGAAATTGAGTGAGTGTGTGTGTGTGTACATACGTAGGTCTGACGTCGAAGCTCCGCCCACTTAGCGTGCCCGCAGACAGCCAGCCTGGAGTCTCCCGCTCCGACCAAGAGCAGTGGCTCACACCTCAACAACCCGGCATACGCTGTGGAAGAGTCCGCGTCCTGTCTGCGGTAAGCACCCCCCATACACACCTCTCCTCTCTCTCTCTCTCTCCACCGGCCCCACACACTCGCTTCCTAACACCTTAATGCACATACATATATATATTTATAACATTCTCACAACTCTACAACAACTTTTGCGATTACACTGGATTATCAGATTGGTGGGGAACCTCTTCAAGCTCATCTGATTCCCAAATCAGGAGCCGCTGACCGATCAGCCGTTGGTCCTCTGGATCGCATCACTCAGATGTTGATGCTGGCTGCTCATGGGTAGTGTTAACGAGCCTAGAACCCAGTTCTTAGGCACATAGCAATCCTTGCCCTTAGGGACCAAGGGGTCTATGATGCTATGTAGGACCAATGTGCACTGATGTCCCAGTAGCCTACACTTGTTGGACGTAACTGCTTCCCTATGATTGGCTGAGCCACACACGCCTAACAATATATATGTCGTTGGGTGGGGGGGGGGGGGATTGTTAGCCACAAAGCAAAGTTAACAAGCTCCAGGACTAACTAATCCTTGTAGACCATCAATGGTCTAGTGGTTATGGTACTCTGTACGCCAAGGGGACGATCCTGGGCGGCAGGTGTTCGAATCCTGGCCGAGAGTGCTTAATGGCTCGCGCGTTGATGCAGTCTTACGATATCGAGTCACTTAAAAGAGCAGAAGTTGTTGAACACATTGAACTTAACCTTACCTAACCTTACCGAGGTTACCTTGAGGCCGACGCACGAGACATAAATACTCGGAAACCGCTTAAATAAGGCGGTAAAGAGGTACCCTTAGAGGGCCAGCCCCAGGGGCTTAGGGGGTCCAGCCCAAAGGCTTAGGGTCCAGCCCAGAGGCTTAGCGGGCCAGCCCCAGAGGCTTAGGGTCCAGCCCAGAGGCTTAGCGGGCCAGCCCCAGAGGCTTAGGGTCAGCCCAGAGGCTTAGCGGGCCAGCCCCAGAGGCTTAGGGTCAGCCCCAGAGGCTTAGGGCCAGCCCCAGAGGCTTAGGGACAACCCAGGAGGATTAGGGTCAGCCTCAGAGGCTTAGGGCCAGCCCCAGAGGCTTAGGGCCAACCCAGGAGGCTTAGGGTCAGCCCCAGAGGCTTAGGGCCAACCCCAGAGACTTAGGGCCAGCCCAGAGCCTTGGGGTCCAGCCCAGAAATAGTACAACAAAAAAGTCAGACATAACAGCTGAGCTCTCCAAAAGCCTCAAGCATCCTGTCCCTTACTGACGCCAAAGACGGCTTCCATTCGCTGTATTTCAGGATTTTCTTAATAGTCATTCGGACTTTACCTCAGGAACGTGACAGAGAAAGAGTTAGAGCCAGTTCCATTGACTCGTGTTATAGGTGTTATTGGTTCATAGAGTTGCCTCTGGCAGCTAACACCAGGTGGTGCTATGAGACGTCACATAAATCATCTAACTCTAGTAGCCAAACACACACACACACACACACACACACACACACACACACACACACACACACACACACACACACACACACACACACGGTGTTTGTGTGTGTGTGTGTGTGTGTGAGCTACGAGGAGAGACTACGGGAATTAAACCTCACTTCGTTGGAAGACAGAAGAGTTAGGGGGACATGATCACCACATTCAAGATTCTCAAGGGAATCGACAGGGTTGATAAAGACAGGCTATTTAACACAAGGGGCACACGCACTAGGGGACACAGATGGAAACTGAGTGCCCAAATGAGCCACAAAGATATCAGAAAGAACTTTTTTAGTGTCAGAGTGGTTGACAAATGGAATGCATTAGGAAGTGATGTGGTGGAGGTTGACTCAAATACACAGTTTCAAGTGTAGATATGATGGAGCCCAATAGGCTCAGGAACCTGTACACCTGTTGATTGACGGTTGAGAAGCGGGACCAAAGAGCCAGAGCTCAACCCCCGCAAGCAAAACTAGGTGAGTATACAGGAGGCACTGAACTACAGGCCAGTGTCCCTAACTTGCATTCCCAAGGTGACAGAGTAGAGTGGAAAAACAAGTTTAACATCTGAAGGAGGAACTTTGCAACATATATATCCAGCACAGGGAAGAAAATTTTCCCTTTCAGATTTACCAGAATTCTCTGACCACACGACAAATCAAACAATAAAGAGAAAGGGTGGGCAGACTGCATATTTATGGGTTGCATGAAAGCCTTTGACACAGTACCACATATTGTGATGTGTGGTACTGAAGAGGATTGCAGGCTCGGGTCGAAATATGTAATCTACATATACTCGTGTTTTAAAAAAATAGTGGGTTATGAGTCATATATATATATATATATATATATATATATATATATATATATATATATATATATATATATATATATATATATATATATTAAGGAAATATGTTTTGCTAATAACTCAAGAGAGTTTTTTCTACTTTCAAGCTGAATCATTTAATAATTTTAGAAAATTTACCAGTTAATTCAGTTCAGATCGTAATCATTTTAACGCTATAAGCTTTGTTAAGATAACTAAGCTTTGTTATAGATGACTACGTTTACATACATATTGGCCAATGTTAAAATGTTTACCGTGCACATTTAAACGAGTAAATATAATGTTTATTCTCTAAATATTTAAACTAGTGACCATAATACAAGATCTATACATATAAATGAGTATATGTAGTGCTAGTTGTATACAGTTAAACGAGTGAGCATAATCCTAGTTTTAAGCATTTAAACGAGCGTAAGAGCTAGTTCTAAAGACGTAAATGAATGTGAATAATCCTAGTTCCAGCATTTAAACGAGTGAGCATAATACTAGTTTTAAACTTGTAAACGAGTGAGCATAATACTAGTTTTAAACTTGTAAACGAGTGAGCATAATACTAGTTTTAAACTTTTAAACGAGTGAGCATAATACTAGTTTTAAACTTTTAAACGAGTGAGCATAATACTAGTTTTAAACTTTTAAACAAGTTAGCATAACGCTACTTCTAAACTGTTAAAAGAATGAGCATTTTATGCACGTTCTAAGCAGTTAAACGAGTGAGCATAATACAAGTTCTAAATACGTGGCAAGTAAGAGGCATCGTGATGGGATAATCCTCCTTAATCTTGACTCTGACAGATGAAGATAACCGCTGCTTTCTTGAGCCAAGTTTTTCTCTCTCTCTCTCTCTCTTGGTCTTTGAGAGTGCGCCCAGCCACCTATTTCCAGTAAATATAATAATATTAATGCTAATAATAATAAGAAGAAGAAGAACAATAAACAATAATTAAACTATTAATAATAAGGAGAATAATAAATGTGTAGAAAAGTGATTTGCTCCAAAAACGCGATTTGTTTAATTGAAAGAAAATATGTGTATAATTTTTTATAAAAAGAAAGAGTAGAAGAAACGAAGAAAATGAAATAGATCTCTCTCTCTCTCTCTCTCTCTCTCTCTCTCTCTCTCTCTCTCTCTCTCTCTCTCTCTCTCTCTCTCTCTCTCTCTCTCTCTCTCTCTCTCTCTCTCTCTCTCTCTCTCTCTCTCTCAAAAACTTGGGAAACGAGGAGAGGCAAAAGGTGAGGCAAAAAAGACCAAGAAGCGATATGATCACTACATACAAAATAGTAGCAGGAATCGACCGAATTGACGATGAGGAATTCTGGTGACCTGCACCTTCAAGAATAAGACGTCATAGATTCAAGCTAAGGAAACAATGGTGACAAAACAAATATTAGAAAGGTCTCTTTTTTACAGACGGAGTTGCATAGACAGTCGGAACAAGTAACGTTCCAGGAACAAGTAACCTTCTCAAGTAACGTGAGAAGGTGTTCAAGGAAAGTTTCAGAACTTAATATGAGAGAGAATACTGAAAATACGGGACACCACGAGCTTAAGTCTAATCCCGTAACTACACTGAGGTAATTACAATTACGTAATTACAGTGAGACGTGTCAAATGGTTTCTTAAACATTTTGAGACACGACCGTCTGGTGTGGTAATGACCGCGTCGAGCGTAATTTGTAACAACCATAAAATATAAATTCAGAAAAAACAAAACAAGAAGAGATGCTGGTTTTTGGGAAAAGATTTTTTGCATCGCAGAACATTGCAAGTGAATAAAACTTTTAGAATGTAAAGTTTCATCCTCGCGCGTCATCGGTTCATCACGTGTGTGTGTGGTGAGGAACTGGTACAGGGGAAGGGAAGGGAAGGGAAAGGGGGGTGGGAGAGGTAAAGTGTGGGGGAAGTGAATCAGACACACGATAAAAAAGGTGACCAACTGGGTGGGTGTGTGTGTGCGCCGTCTCTACCCATCTCTGCTATAGTTCCCCCTAGTGCTCCACTTTCTCTCTCTCTGGGCCGTCACCGCGCGCGGGGCGCCCTGACCCGGGTTCCCGCCCTTTTCCTCCAGTCTTCTGTCATCGCAATCTTCCATAGCTCTTACTTTCTCTTTTGCCTATCTCTCCCACACCACCCGTCCCTCCCTTTCACACCACCCCTCCCTTTCTCTCCCTCTCCCTCTCTCTCTCTCTCTCTCTCTCTCTCTCTCTCTCTCTCTCTCTCTCTCTCTCTCTCTCTCTCTCTCTCTCTCTCTTGACTATACCATTCTTGGTCACCCATTCTTCCAGTAACCACCCCACTCCATTATCACGTGCCAGTAACCACATCCTGTTACCGCCCGATCATCACTCCATTGTTAACGATATATATCATGCAGTAATACTTCTATATTTGCGGAATACTTTATTATATCTAATTCTCACGCGAGGGGCCAAATTCTGTTAACTAGTGGAAGCCCGTGATCCCCGTTGCCATTGTCTGTGAATAGAAAAGAGAGTATGAAAGGTAATTGTAACTGCGGGCTCACCATAGCCCGTGCTACTCGTAATTGTAAGCGGAAAGCTCTTAGCCTGTATTACCGTAGTGAAGCGACAAGGGACGTGAGGTTGAGGAGCTGGGGTATGAGGACAAGGTGCTGGGGTATGAGTACAAGGTGCTGGGGTATGAGTACAAGGTGCTGGGGTATGAGGACAAGGTGCTGGGGTATGAGGACAA